CCCCCCCCCCCCCCCCCCCCCCCCCCCCCCCCCCGCCCCCCCCCCGCGGATGGGCCCAAATATCTACCTTATTATATACTTCAACAGTCCTTTCAGATCGTGTTTCACAAAACATGCTATTAAAGAAAATACATTACTTTATTTTGTTTTATTTAATAATATTCTTTTACTTTGCATGTTAATACAATTGGATCTTGATTTTTCGACTTAGAAAAATATTTCTATAAAGAAAAATTCATAAATTGTTTCTTCTCATTTTGATATGTTAAGAATATATAATTCTTTTAATATATTCTAATTTTATTCTGGAAAAGTCATTGATAAATGAATTAAACCTCTTTTATCTTTAAATTGAGACTACTTTTTTTGCCTATGAAAAATTGAAAACGAAATCAATGATATTGATATTAATTAAAAATTCATGAAAATATTTCGATCTTAATCTGATATAAATTGATATTTTATTTTTATGTTAGAGTATTTAGCATTCAAAAAAAAATTTTTTTCTATTCAATTAATTAAACAACCAAGAACGAAAATTTAATAAAATTTTCAATTTTAGACAAATTCAGATAAAATGTTTTTTTTTTTCATAAAGATTTTATCTAAATAAAATCGATATGAAACTAAGAACTATTCCACAAATTCTTAAAACTTTTTAAAATTCATTATTTTTCTTTTTTGGATTTATATTCGAACTCGAATTAGACAGCTACTCGAACTGACGGTTACAGTAGCACTTTATATATTTTTTTTATATCGACATAATAGTGTTTGTCGCATAATCATATGAACGCAAATAAAAGTTCAATTAGAGAATATAGATACGGCTGCTTGGAAGAAATAATTTGTTTCTTTTCTTATCATTAAATTGTAACGTCAATCGGATAACTACATGATCCTTTTGTCAACAGAGAAAAAAGTGAACGATAATGATCACTAACAAATCGGCTTGTCTATGTACATATATGTATTCATTTGAATCGTCGAATCATCAAAAAGAAAAATAATTGATTGTTCGATTAGCATTGATGATGAAAATAAGTAAGATGCACTAAGGTGTTTTTTAGATTTTATATGCACCTATTGTCTTAGTTTTGATATTCGTTTTAATAATAAAACTTGTCGATTCCGTTCAATACAATCAATTATGTACTTTTTCTCTTGGTACTTGCAGTTGGAGTATTGGCCGACGATGGCATATAACAACCTTAGACAACGGAAACAAAGGTATTCGATGAGAAATTAAACTTTTTCTAGCCTAAGATTTTTTTGAAATAGTTTTAATTGCTGACGCGGAAAGTAAAGAAGATAAACGAATCGGTTTTACGGATGCTATTATGTCGTCGTGGTTACATTTATCTCCATTGTGTTCATTCGATATTCGATTAACATTTCAATATAGTATTCAAAACGAGCATGATTTTATTGAAATTTATTTAATTGAAAAAAATCGAACGCGATTGACTTCTGTAGGCCAATGGAAGGGAATAATCAATAAAAATGACTCATCAGAAAACAATGATCCGATTTGGCAACAAGGAAATGTTATATTCAAAGCAGCAGAAGAATTTCGAGTATGAAATTAAAAAAAGACAAAAAAATTGTTTGTATTCAAAATCATGCATGTCTTGCTTAGATTGATATTGAAATTCGACATGTACCAAAGAGGAAAAACAATGCACTCGTTTGGTTTGGTCTTGATGATATTTTTATTGAAAATTGTCCTATTGGTGAGTAAATTTGATCATCGTGCAAATTGATGCTTGCGTAAATATTAGGATACAAAAACGAAAAACCGATGTGCATGATAATAGCTAAGAAGGAACTACATGAACAAAAACAAAAAAAAGGAGAGAGATGATTGCTGATATTCATAGCGATAAAAAAAAATGTAATGATTCAATCGAAACTATAGTTTATATCTATAAACCTTAAGCGAGAGTTCAATAGATATATTGAAGAGATTTCGACTATAATACAAACTTTTTCTCTTTATTTCTAGCCATTGTAAATATGACAAGTAGCACCTTCCATACAACCGAAATTCAAACTACAACATCGATTACGTCCAGTACTAAACTCTATTCAAATGAAAGTAATTCTACATTATTTAATTTACCTAATTGGAAATTGGATGATTTATCCGATGAAAATCCACCTTCATCTCCTGGTCAAACTATGTTAACATTAGTTCTTTATCTATTATGTGCTTTAATAGCATTGACATTGTTAATTATACTTTTTTCAATTATCATATTTACATCTCGAAAACATTTTTGTCCTTCATCATCACTAGCGATGAATCATCAATATCAATTCGGTAAAAATAAAGTACACAATCGTATTGGTATACAAATTGAAAATGCCGATCGGGATAATAAAACTCCAAAAACAACAAATACGACTGTTCGATCATGTTTTGAATAAAAAATAATCGTTCTTTAAAAAAAAATATTATATCTACACATGCACGCTATATTATAAAAATCTAGGTTATGATGAGATTTCTCTTCTAAAGGACGATGGGTTGGAATCTGGATAAACTTGAACTATGTTTTGACTATGCCACTGTTTATCCAATTGGACAAGAATATAATCGTAGACGAATTTATTTGAAATATTCTACAAGAATAGTAGAAATTATTCGTTGGCGTAAAAGAAAATGTTCTTCACATACTTTTTGAACTTTAATAGCAACAACACCGGATCGTTCTTTACCAGTTAAGTAAAACGAAACTGTCATACTTTGATGTCCTTTTTCATCAAACGTTCTTGCCCTTTAAGTAGAAATTTAAAGAAATTTTTAAATTTATTTCCTATGAAAATATTTCTATTTTAAACAAGAGGATTTGAATAACATCACTGATGTGAAAACATACAGTTTATTGAAATATCTATAGCACCACGTTGTTTATTTTCTTTGAAGTGTTTTTTTTTCATGCGGTTATTCTCAATATCCTTTTCTTTTGGAATAGGTTGATAAATTTTTAAAATTCAGAGAATTTAATTTTTCAGATAAATTATAAATTAGAATCGTTAGTTCATTATTATTATTATTATTATTATTATTATCAGTGATGACTATACTTATATTACCGAACGTTATTGATTCGCATAGAACCGATTTGAGGTGTTGTATGAACTATAATCGGTAGACCTAATGCTTCTTGTACCTATTAGGAAAACATCTTCTGTTCATTTAGGCATTTTCTAATTATAAACTTACATCACTATTTTCTAAGCAAATCCTGGATGCTTCTTTATAAATGCCATTCGGAGTTTCTCTCGAATAGAGTTCATGCATTATTACATAACACAATCCACTTAATGCAGCAACTCCAGCTACGACAACAAGCGAATAAACAGTATCTTTAGCCGTTTGCTGTGCTATAATGAAGGATTGTTGTTTTCGATCAGAAAAGTAGTACACAGTTATACCTTTTTGCGTGAATTTAACTTTTTGAATTTGACTATTTTGAGATTGAGCAAGACCATCGTTATCTTGTTTTTTAGAATCTTGTTTTTCATGTTCGATTGTTGACAATTGTCGTTGATGAATAACGACAATCGTACGAAATAATGGTGAACGCCATTGCTTATGACATTGTTTTATAACGAGATGAAATGAAGGTGATATCATCTTTAGAAGAAGAAAAAAACAAATTTTCTTGTTATATTATTAAATTTATTTGAAAAATAAACAAAATTGAAGATTAGTTTTATTCATCATATTTAGATTATTAATAAAGTCAGATCAATGAAAAAAAAGCGGAATAAGCAAAAATAGAATGTCGTTAGTCAGATGGCAGCAAAAAATGGAATAAGATGAAATCACATAAAAGTAGCTTTCTTTCCAAACTAGCGATTGCAATGGACGGGGGAGAGAAAAAAAACGAAATGAACGCAGTGCACTTTTGAAAACAAAAAATTCGGTCAGAAAATATTGAGTATTGCGCATTGATTAGTAGAAGCATAAAATATAATTGAACGTTGTTTTTCTTCGATGGCTCCAAATATTGATTAATTCATGCGTGTATAATCCGTACCATTTTCTTTCTCTTTCAGAATACCTATAACAAACACAAAAGAGATTATTAGTTCCTTAAAATTGATCTAAATTTATTTACCATATTTCATACGGATCTCATCCGCTACACGATTTCGTTCAGTCGATCTAAAGAGAAGAAATAAGAATAATAGTGAATTAAATTGAGTAAGTCTTACCGAATTTCACCTGCAGCTCGTCGTTCTTCCGCTCGCCGATTTTCTACATCCTGTTCTCTTGCTTGTCGTTTTTCTTCTCTACAAATGAATTCAAAGTGAATTTAAAAACAAATTTAATTCTTAACTTACTTTCGAATAGAACAACGTTTACATTTTCTGCATACACAACATATTGCGATCAATATTGCAATCAAAAGAATACCACCAACAACAGAAACAATAATAATCCACGTTTCAAAAGTACCTAAAATCAAAGAATAAATTATTTAGTTTTATATTTAATAGAGAATTTAAGCTTTTGCAAAAAAAAACGAAATTAATTTTGTTTCAACCTACAGTAATATTCAATCATTTCCCATTGAAATCCACAATTACCTTCGTACATCTCGTTATATAGTTTCATCAAATAACAACAGCAAAATGTATGAATATCATCAATGATCCGAATACCGGCTAATTTAGCGAGCGAGAGAGAGAAGAAAAAGCAAATTTCAACCTACCAACACACGTTCCCCATTGGGTATCAGATATAGCACATTTTTTGGCTATGACGTTGCTCACATCATATAGAAAACAGGATTTGCCATTTTTACAAAAGGCACAACCGGCTAAGCTTAAACATGTTCTGCAATCTTTATTCGATAGTTGGGCACAATCGGCATCGGTTGAATTACAAGAAATTGAACCAAAGAAAACGGTCACAACAGTAATGAAAAGAATAAAATATTGCTGCATTATCTAAAATAAAATGTTTTTTTGCAAGATTATAAATGAACGTTTTTATTTTTTATTCTGTTTTAATATTTAATATTATGCTAAAATCAGACTAATCATCTGGAAAGTCAACATGAGTTAGTAGAGGAGAAATTTGTCCAGCAAGTTCCTTTGAGGCTGTACATAAAATGCAACGATGAAGAAGATTCAATGGGCCACCTTGCAAATAAAGATAAATTCTTTTTAAATTAATTGCATTCTTTTTATTTACCTGATGGATCACATGTATATGCGCCAGCTTCGCGTGCAATCAGATCTCCCGCAGCTTTTAAAATGAACAAAACGTTTTTATTATCAATGAAAAAGCAAATTTTCTTACCATAATCCCAAATATGAATTCCATATTCGAAATAGGCATCGCAACTTCCTTCAGCTACCATACATAAATTCATAGCTGCACTACCAATAGCTCGAATACTTTAAAATAAAAAACAAAAAAATTCTATTGATTTTCGGCAGTGATTTTTACCTATGAACTTTTTCAATAATAACTCGTAAATTTTTACATTTAGCTGATAATACATCAGGTTCGCGACTTGAGCCATATTCACCTGCTACTTGAGATAATCCTAATTCTACAAGCAAAAAAGAAACAAATCGTAACAAGTATCTTTCTTTTTCTAATAGGAAAGCTTTAGTTGTATCTTATTGACATAAAGAGAAACATCACCAGTTAATAGAATAATATTATCGATATTTTCATTCGTTCTAATTACCTGTTTGTCCTGAGCATTTAATTGGTCTACCATTTTTAAATGCACCTTTGCCGTGTACGGCTGAGTAAAGAAGATCCAAAACAGGATTAAAAATAACACCAATGACTACTTGTTTTTTTATTGCAAGTGCAATAGAAATAGCGACAAATGGAAAGCTGATAATGAGAATAAAAAATAAATAGAAGAAAATTTATTAAAAAACGCTCCTACCCATGCACGAAATTTGTTGTACCATCAATGGGATCAATAATCCATGTTGGATCATCCCCAAATGTTGTTTTTACTCCTGAAGCAGCTGATTCTTCTCCAATGAATCTAAAATTCAATGCAGTAAATCGAATATTTTGCATTCATATTTACTTATGTGTAGGAAATTCTTCTTGCAATTTTTTAATTAATATTTCTTCAACACGTTGATCAAATTCTGTGACAAGATCAGCCGCACCAGCTTTGGTTTCAACGCGTTTCTTTCCCAAAAATCCTTCGTTGACAACCTACGTTATGCGTATAAACATAATTTGTTTTTCATATTCAGTGCTTTTTTTTTCTCGCTGCACATGACAATAATCAATAGACCGTGTTTTCGATTAATACGCGCTCATATTGATTCATGATTTCAAATGAAAAGAAGAAGAAGAAGCAGAAGCAGAAGACTACCTATTACATGACTGTTTACGTTTTGATAAACGTAGGTATATATTTACTTTTCCTGCTGTAGATACGAGGTGGAGCACAGTTCTATAATAAAGTTCAATTTCTTTGTCCGTCATTTTCTTATTAAATCTAAATATATCTAGAAAACTATAAATTATGAATAGTTTTGTTTTTATATTTATGTTTTAATGAAATGATGCGGAAAAACATTTTTTTTACAAGTCCATCTGGTTTATTAATCTAGTAAGAAAAACAAAATACTAGAAACCAATAAAAATGATTATAACTAGATAATCTAGTTTACTTTTTCGTTCAATATAACTGTTGTGACTTTAACTATAGAAGAACATAAAAATTGAGTCTATTTGAATTAAGAAACATATCTATAGACGAAATTTCGATGTGAAACTTCTCAAAAGCGGTCATAACATATTTAACCTATTGCTTATGTTATCGTAGCCGACGTAAAATTATCATTATCAAGTCGAATAATATTCGAAAGTTTAACCAGATTTCATCATTGTTGATTTTTATGTATTTATTTGCAACTTGTCTGCAAAACAAAAAACTCAGGTGTCCATTCTATTCAAAGTCAATAGAATTTTTGGGCTTGCAGAGAAGACGTAAACCTAGAATAGAAAATCTAATAGATAGATGCTCGTGAAAAACCTGCAATAACAAAATATTATTGTTCTAGAAGAAATCGTGCCTGTTCTGTTCCTTTGCGTCATTATACTATAGGCGAATTGTACTTCTAGTGCAATAAATCATTACTAGAAAAAATAGCTGATTTATTAAAGTAAAAAGGTTTTCTTTTTAATAGAACTAAAACAAGCCTACCGAATAAGCATATGGTATATTCACCAACGCATCACTCGACATCAATTTTACAACTGAATCTTATAACTATCTATTAAGTCTAATGCTACCTATTAATTATGACTAGTTGTCGAGAGTTGTAATCAAGGATTTCTGAAGGTAAATAAGTCGCGAATACTTTTTTTTCTCATCTTACAGACAGATACAGATAAAAATATAGATATTTATGTAAAGGCAAGAAAGTGGTTATTATTACTTATTAATTAATATGGCTCGAAAATTCTAATCAAACAAAATCAATTATTATGTAATTATTGTGACATGCACAATCTATTTTTGCCAAGCTAAAATTTCAGAAAAACGTCGCAATAGCAATTCTCATGAGAAACATGTTAAATTACTCATAGATAATACCAATAGATATGAAAGAGAACTCACAGCCAGTTAATAAAGCGATGTATATTGTTAGAATGCATGCAAACGAGCTTGAACGTATCAGTGAGAGAAAAAAATGTAGCGATTGAATATTATTATTAAGAATGTAAACAAACAATTGATGCACGCAACGGATAGTATATCAATTTAAGCGATAGAAAATTGTTTTGTGGAATTATTTTCTTCTTTTTTCCTGTTTTTCTCGTGATTGATTAATGATTCATCATCGTCGCTGGCAAAGATTGTGTTTCTTCTTCTCCTCTTGGTTTTGACACTGTTCTTGTCAAAAAATAGGAGAAAAGATGGCGTTGATAGATGAATTCCATTTTAATTCTTCTGTACTAAATCATTAAAAAATGTGTAGAAACTACTGTCAAGAAATTTCTATGCTCAAGTTGAGTTCTGCACGAAGGTTATATTTTCTCATGGTCATCTTTTATGATAGACGAATTGTATTATTCTCATTTCTGTGGTGTAAGTCGATATTAATAAAAGATTAGAGTTCGAAGTCAATTCAGTCTAAAGACGTTTGTATTTGCTCTAGATTTATCGACTTCAATGATAAAGAATAAGCGCGAAACAAATTTAGCAGTTATGGTGTCTTCATATCAAAACCACCTGTATGTAAAGAAAAAGTTGTCAGCACTGTTTAGGATACAGCGATTGACAATAAAAGATTTTTTTCTAATATTGAACATCGAATTCTATATTTAACAACACATTTATTGTTTTAATGCATATGTTGGAGTAGAATTTCAAATTTCAAACTCCACTAGGGCAACTGAAAAAGTTTTCGTAGTTTTCATATACTTCTCGATTTTTTTGAAATTGGCAAAAATAAATATTCGTCTCGAAGTCTGAACGGGAATAATTATGCTCACATTCATTATCTGTGTGGGTGTAGTTGTACAAAGTCAGTTTGAATGAACAACTTAAGTGCGGACGAGGCTGCGGGTTTGATTGATACCGGTCTACATGCTTCCACACCAGCACACAAATAGTACATTTCTTATTGTTAAAGAAAGTTGAGAATTAAATAAAACTACAAAAAAAATTAATTTCTACTCCAACATATATACAGCTTATTCCGTATAAACGAATCCAATAAGATGAAAAACATGTTCTATTATGATTTCGAGTGGTTATTGAAAAAAAGAAAATAACTTACTTGATCTATATGAATTGTTTGTTTACATTAAACAGGGCAATATAATTTTTTTTAGATAATTTAGCAATGTTAATAAGTTATTCCACTGTATATGATGAGCTGTGACAGATAATTCTATGTCGTGATGATCTATTCGTTTGCAAATAGTTATTTACTCTCTTTATATCTAGTCCTTATTCTTGGCTTTCTCTATCAAATAACTTCGGTGGAGCTATTCGTTCGTATTTACTTGTTGATTGTATATGTTGTTGTTGTCGTTTTTCTCTCGATCTCATTATCAGTAAACCTATGGAGCAAAGCGATAGGTTTAGATTATCGAGTTACTAATGTAAACTATATTTACGGATGATGACGAACCCTATGAGACTTTAACGGAGAACGAAAGACAACTAGCAACGAGACCATGATAGCGATTGAACAGTAGTATTTCACTGTGTGAATCATAGAAGGTAACAATATTTAGCAGTATCCTTAACCAAAAAAAAAATAAAACGCTCATGAATCGGAGAAGTATTTCAAAAAACATACAAAAAAATAATTCTAAAATATCCATTAAATTAACAAAAAAAGTGCCAATGAACTAGATGAATTGTAGCTATTTTATAATTCAGTAGACACTATAAATCAAAAGGCTTCTCAGAAAGGAAGGATCTAATTTACAAGTGTTTCCTCTAAATATTCATAGGTGATCAAAATGTTTTTTGGTTTCTGTTGCCTGTCACTCAGAATAAACTACTCCATGATTGAGATAAGACAACACCATATACAACTGCATTAGAAGTTAAACATAGCATTTGCTACAATCGAGAGAGTTGTGATCAAGGTAGAAAAATTCATGACGAATTAATTCTTCTGAAAATCGATTTTATTACAAGGAAAAGTGTGGCTGTGTACTTTTTCGAATCATTGTTGACATGATACATGTCTGGTTAGTAATGAGAAGCTCATTCTATAACATCTATTTGCGTTGCTTTTTTCGATTTTATTTATTATTATAATAGATGAATTTAACTTCCAAGGACTGCATCCTATTAGATATTACCTTGGAATGTATTAGTCGCATTATGAAAAGCTTTATATAATCTTTGAATTTTAGTAAAAAAATTTCCTTTGTCTTGATAAGACGAGTATCGAATGTTTAAAAGATAAATCTTTGCAAGGAAAAACAATATGAAGAGTAGGAAACAATGTTTTTCTTTTATTAACAAATGGGCGAGAGAAAACAAGCAGTTTCATTTCAGCTTTCTTTCATCATAACAAACTATAGAATAATGAATCGTTGTTTCGTCATGATTTTATTGACAGAGGCAACAGGCTCTTGTCTAGTGAATCTAGACTAACATAGGTATAATAAATGTGGAGACTATTGCCGGATGATTTTGAATTTTTTTTATTCACTAGACTCACAACTGTGGGAAGCGGAAAAAAGTAAAGTTTTATTCGCATTAACACAGTGGATAAATATCTACTTATAAATATTATTTTTCAGACAAGCAGAAGCAAAACAGAATTGTTATCTGAATCTTGTTTAATAGTTCATAGATTTAATCATCATTATCTCGAATTGAATAATAATTTTTGATAACATTAAATATTCTGTGCTTCTGAAAAAGAATTTGAAACCACGCCGACAAGTTTATTTCCATGTTCGTTCCAAAAAATTGCTTCTTTGCATGTAGATTATCCGATAGGATAGTCAATTGATTGTAGATCGGCAGTGTTTTCAAGGTTGATATCATTTAAATCATTTTTTTCCATTCCTGTGATATGTGATGGTGCAAGTGAATTTAACAATAAATGAAAACGTGTATCACGACAAGCATTTCGTTGAACGATACGATTTTCACGTTGTTGTAAAGCACATAATAATTTTTGATCAACAGGTGTCTCTCGTAGATTAATTGTTTCGACAAGTGTTCGATAATGAGACAAACAATGAACGTGAACAATGCGTTTATCATCGCGATCGAGACATCGCAAAAGACGTTGTATCTCGGTTTGAGGAGGACTATCTCCTGATACATGTGAGCTTGTCGTTGTACTTACACTGGAAGTTTTTGGTCGTCGCCGAGTGCATTGTGACCCTGGCGAGAATGTTTGATCTAATCTTCTCCACGCCGGTACACTCAATACATTCGTTTGAGACTCAAGGGTATTTTTAGCAGTTGTCGAACGTTTTTTACCAGACGACGGTTCGATAGTCGTAGCAGACCGACAAAGTGGTCGACTGTAAGCCGATTGAACACGATGGGCACGAATAGTACTCATGATTTTGCCGTTGAAGACACGTAATGATGAGGATTTTAAGCAGTATTTCTTCTTTTTTTTTACTTTTTCTATTTAAATATGAAAGAATATAATCCTTGTTGAATGTCACTAAGTGGTATACCTTACGTTGCACAGTAATTGTATGAATAAATAGAATTGTATCTGATCAGTTGTTACTTGTCAATGTAACGATCAAACATTAACTTTTTTTGTTTGTTCTCTTTTGTGTGGACTTTATTAACAGTAGGACTTCTGTTATTTTTCTATTCGATCAACAACAAGAAAGTAAATCTTTCTTCTCTATTCTTATAATTAGAAATAATCAAACATCAATTCACATATCTTGCAGCATAGTAATGATTCTCCATCACGATGAAGACTTTGATGGAGAAAAGACAAGTAAAACAGAGAAGCAAACAAAATGACCGATTTTTTTCGTGTCTAATCAATTCAAATAATAGAAAAATGCAAAATTTTTGTCAAAAAATATATTTCATAATATAGAAAAATAACCTTTATCCTTGACCGTAGTTATTAATACATGTGTATGGCAACTAGAACCGAATATTTCTGTCGGTATATTATAAGACTGCTAATAAATTGACGTTTCCCATTAAATATAGGTCGTTTTCGATCGATAACAGGGTGAGGATGAGCATGTGTGTAAAGTAAACAAGTATTCCCTTTCGTTTGTTTTAGGATTTAAATGAAAAAAAGCATAAATAATATAAAAATATTAATTTTTCGATCTTTAATACAATACAATCTTTGAAAATAACCTTTTATTTTGTATATGCCCTTGAATAGTTTAGAAATAGAAACAGCTGAGCAAAATTTTAATTTTTTAAAATATAAAAGAGGCGATTTAATAAATTTTCTTATTCTTTCATTATCAAAAAAAACCTAAATAATCTAAAAAATAATAATAATAATAATACTCTCATCGATTACATCAATTAGGAATTCTTACGAATACGCCTTTGAATTTCTTCGGTTTATACATAAAAGTTTCTATTGAGTATATTTAATTATTAATTTTTATCAAATAGTGAATATTATCGTGTTAGTCAGTCAGCATTGACAACAGCTACAATTACAAAAAAACAATTCAATTTGTGAATATCTTTTGCGAATTTATTTCATTCTTCTGTGCATTTACGTAGAATATTTGTCGATAAAACACGATTTTCTATTCGAATTCATCGAAGTTGTTTCAACTTCGCAATAGATCTGACCGACTTCTTCTTATTTTTCATCTAAATAATGCTTTTCTTTGTCAAATATTTCTAGTATCATTTTTTTTCGATAGTCCATATTCATTTTCATTAAAAAGTCAATGATTCGATTTTCTTTTTAAGTTTATTAAACTATGTCAAAATCACTTATGAATAGAATGTTTTCGTATTAATAGCAATCATTGTTCACATCTCTATACGACGTGGTTGTAAGTTCTTGTCATGAACGAAATCAAACGCACTACCGTAAGCTAAGCGTCACCCATTCTGCTTATGAAATAACACACTATTTAAGGTTTATATTCTTTTGTCCATTACATACAATACGAGAAAACTAAACTAGACCATTTCATATCATAGAAATAACGCAGACTCTTAAATTAGACTTTTCAAATAAACTACAGTGTACAAGTTAGATTCAAGATGACTGTGGGGATAGCATTTTTTCTAGCTCTATGATTAGCAAAACCAAAAAAATAGTGGATAATGGTCACAGCTATGGGAAATTTTACAGAAAATATTTTAGATCTTCAACAGCTTTCAGTAAACGGAAAGCTATTGAAATCATTGATCGAAAAGGAGATAATAATCGATTGGCACTTATTTCATCGATTATTATGATCTTCATCATTTTTATTCCATGATATTCTATGATTGAGTTCCATTTGAATGTCAAAACTAGTATCGAGCCATACAAATGAAATTTAGTTCATGAAAATGATCGTAATAATCAATAAAGTTAAACGTCACTTTTTCTGATCGTTTGGTGATCTGTAGAAACGTTGTTCTTCTAAGTCTAATTGTTGAAGAACAAGAACTTTTGTTATTATTTTTTTTTGTCGCTTTCCAATGCAACTAAAAACTCGACATTTTCTAAAGACAAAGTAGACAGCTCCACTTGATTGTATGGAGGATAAAATAATGATAAGATCTAGCACATAAGTTGTGATATTGAGAACAACCAAAAATATCTAATTTTATACATGTCTTATCTAGAAAATCTCTCTGATTATCTTATCTTCAAACAGTGAGAATACCGAAACAAGTATGAAAAATAACTTGTTGCGCATTCACTGCATTCTCGTTATGTTCTTTTTGCACCGTAGAGATAACTACTCTGTACTGGTCTGCAAAAAAGTGCTTTTTGAGATTCTGTTTCCGTAAAAGTAGTATTTAGTTTCTGCTTTTCGATCTCCGCTACTTTTGTGATATCAAAGTTGAGACGTGGCCAAGTTTCCAGGAGTCGGAAAGTCTTCGGGAATTGGGAACTCAACAATCAATAAGCTACTGCCGGTGATGTGAAACCTAAACACGTAAAGCATCTCAGGGAAGCCAATGAGGTCAAGGCTATGAGGGAAAGGAGAGCCTGGACTCAATTCGCTTGGATTTGGCCATCAATATATTGAGTATTATGTACTTAATCGGCATGATACCCCCAATGGCGATAATGGACATAATAGGCTGAGTGCATATCCATTGACATAATAGATATATGAAAGTCACGGTGAGCAAATGCGCAAATGATCTGTTCGCTTAAGAATGAGTTGCAATATTTTAGAGCGATTATTTAATATGCTTTGATAAACTTATAAGGTGCCGCTAAAGCAGAATTGGAGTAAATTTTGTTTCTCGTTTATTTATATATGGTTTGATACAGCTTGAAAAGCTGATCAAGAATATGTACTTTTTATTTCGGTTTGATCTTTTTTTGGCTGAGAAAATCTTAAGAAATGAGAACACCTGAGAAAAACATATTTTTATGTTAAATTTTGTTTTTTTTACAAAAATTGCCAAATTTCTTTTTCAGTTATTTTCTGAGCATTTTTAAAGTACTATATTCTGAATCAGCATAAAAAACTGAATAGGAAAAATGTTATTTGATTAGACTTAGATATAGTAAAGAAAACAATTTCTTATCTCATATAAATAGCT